GTCCCCTTCTCTGCTGGGGCTGGGACCCCCTAGAGGGACTTTTTCCTTTCCCAACGTACCTGAAGTTGCAAATTTCTGTTGATAAGAACCTAAACACAGGTGGGCTCAAAACTAGCAAATCCAGCCACCCCTTTCACCAAGGAGGAGAATGAAGACTCAAGCACAGGTGAGCTTTTCCCAAGGTAAAGGAAAAACCACAAGGGCAGTGGAAGAAGATGCCCCTCACACTGTTGGGCACCAGTTAAATACCTCACGTCTGTTAGTTGGCTTATCAGCGAGTAGATTTATAGAAGAGGAGCAAGAGGAGGCGGAGGACAAGGGAGGAAAAAGAGGCAAAGGAGACAGAACTCCCAGCCACATTTCGCACAGAGAGAAGGACCCCAAAGCACACAGAGCTCAAAAGAGTCTGGACTTAAGGATACGTGACTGAAATGCTCTCTTCTTTCCCTCTCCTGTGGGAAAAGAACCTAAGGGCAGACCCGGGCCTGGTTTAAAAACAAAAACAAAATGGAACCTGGAAGAGACAGCTGGGCCATGCCCAGAAGGACGCCAGTGTGGAGGTCAGGTGCTACTGGCAAGCGCAGCCCCACCTGTAGGGTTCAGATGCCAGGACAGATCCACCACAGAAAGCAAAACTCCAAGGCCACAGAAGTGTGAGCCTGGAAGGTGCCTTATGGACCCTTCTATGGATAAAGAAACCGAGACCTAGAGAACAGCAATAACGTGGCCAAGGGTTCAGGAACCAGATCCAAACCCAGGAGTCCTGTTCTCCAGCCTGACTCTCGTTCCCCTCTCTCTGTACAGTAGGGGACAGTTCTGGGATTCTCACAACCTCAGTGTACTTTCTACAGACACCTGTTAGAAATGAATCTGCTCCAAGAAGCTACAGGCTTAACGTTTAATCCAAAGAAAGAATTTACGCCGAGCACCTACACCAGCCTTCGCTCAGTATCTTTCTCTCTCTCCTCCTTTTCCCAGGCTCATGCCCCCTCCCCCGCACCCTCCTAACCCCTCCAGAACCCACAGACCCCCTCCCT